CCATTTGGGCACGGCGCACATTTTCCGCACGCCAGTCCGTCGCAGCGCGAGCAGGCGAAAATGTCGTTCTCTCTTCGGCGCCGCAAAAGATTTCGCGTGAAAGTGGAGCTGGTGCCTCGGCGCGGCGCATGTCTTTCGCTCGCCAAGTTTGGGGCCCCGCGCGGGCGGGTGACATGTTGTTTTTGCTTGAGCTCCGCGCACATTGCGCTTAGATGGGGTTCCCGCGTGAGCGCGTCGCGCGGACCTCCTCTCCGCCGCCGCGGCTTCCTCCTCCTCCTCCTCCTCCTCCTCCTCCTCCGCCTCCTCCTCGTCCACCTCCTCCTCCTCCTCCTCCTCCTCCTCCTCCTCCTCCTCCTCCTCCTCCTCTGAGGCCGCCGCCGCCGCCTCCTCATCCACCTCCTCTTCTTGTTCCTCCTCATCTTCCTCCTCCTCCTCCTGCTCCTCCTCCTCATCCTCCTCCTCCTGGCCCCCATCCGCCTCCACCTCCTCTTCCCGCCTCTCCTTTCCCCCTCCCCCTGCTCCTCCTCATCCTCATCCTCATCCACCTCACCAACACCACAGCCACCACAACCACAACCACATCCACCACCACCACCACCATCATAATCATCATCATCATCATCATCATCATCATCATCATCATCATCAGCATCATCATCATCATCATCATCATCATCATCATCATCATCATCATCATCAGCATCATCATCATCATCATCATCATCATCACCACCACCATCATCATCATCAGCAGCAGCATCATCAGAATCATCACCAGCTTCACTCATCATCCTCATCATCGTCATCATCATCATCATCATCATCATCATCATCATCATCATCATCATCATCATCATCATCATCTTCATCATCATCTTCATCGACATCGTCATCAGCAGCAGCATCGTCGTCATCATCAGCAGCAGCATCATCAGCATCAGCAGCATCATATCATCAACATCATCACCATAATCCTCATAATCGTCGTCGTCATCGCCATCACCGTCACCATCATCATCATCAGCATCATCATCGTCATCATCATCATCATCACCATCTCCATCCTCATCAGCATCATCATCGTTAGCATCATCATCATCATCGTTATCATATTCATCATCGTCGGCATCATGGCTTCTCCTTTCTGAAAAGACAATAGAATCTACCCCCCCCCGGCGTTATCCGCCCCCCTTTCGCGTATGTAAATCATATATGACTCTGACCACATGTCCATCCTAAATATGAATCCCACCAGCCCTTTGGGCGTGAGTGGTTTAGCGAGCTCTCTCTGTTCTCAACCCCCCTTCTTCCCCTTCGGGGAGGGGTTTACCCCTCCCCCTACCCCCTCCCCCTGGGCCTGGAGAGGGCGCCTCGCGGGTGGTCAGAGGGGTCTTTTTCGACTCCTGGGAAGGCTAAAAGACGACACCCCTCACGAGGATTCTGGCCCCGACGGGGGGGGGAGAAAAATGCTCCCCTCTTCTTTGAAGCCAAAATCATTGATTTGACTACGGTTTTGGCCCCATTTTGGCCTTCTGAGGGGGCAGCGCTAATTAAAGCTCCCCTCTTCTTGCAAGCCAAAATCATTGATTTTACTAAGGTGGTGGCCCCATTTTGCCCTTCTCAGGGGGCAGCGCTCATTAAAGCTCCCCTCTTCTTTGATCGATTTCCTCCAAGATGGCCCCAAAAAGCGCCCAGGAGGCACCAAGAGGCCCCAAGATGGCCCCAAGAGGCCCCCAGGAGGCCCCCAAGAGGCCTCCAAGAGGCCCCCAAGATGCCCCCAAGAGGCCCCCAAGAGGCCCCAAGAGGCTCCCCCGAGGCACCCAAGACACTCCTGGAAGCCCCTGGGGCCGCCAAGAGGCCCCCAAGACGCCCCAAACGGCCTCCAAGAGGCTCCCAAGAGGCCCGAAGAGGCTCCCCCAAGGCACCCAAGACGCTCCTAGAAGCCCCTGGGGCCGCCAAGAGGCCCCCAAGACGCCCCAAAAGGGGACGAGGTGCCCGAACGCCTCACGCCACGAGGAGCCCGAACGACTCACACCAGGACGAGGGGCCCGAACGACTCACACCACGAAGAGCCCGAACGACTCACACCAGAAGGAGGGGCCCGAACGACTCACACCAGGACGAGGCGCCCGAACGACTCACACCACGAGGAGCCCGAACGACTCACACCACGACGAGGGCCCCGAACGACTCACACCACGAGGAGCCCGAACGAGTCACACCAGGAGGAGGGGCCCGAACGACTCACACCAGGACGAGGGGCCCGAACAACTCACACCACGAGAAGCCCGAACGACTCACACCAGGACGAAGAGCCCGAACGACTCACACCACGAAGAGCCCGAACGACTCACACCAGGAAGAAGGGCCCGAACGACTCACACCAGGACGAGAAACCCCAAACGACTCAAACCACGAGGAGCGCTTTCTCTCCCTCCTCCTCCGCCTCGTCCTTCTCCCGCTCCCACCACAAGGAGGATGTACAAGGAGGCGGGAGGAAGGAGGAACAGGGGAGATATGCGGGGGCAGGCGGAAACACGCCTGAAAAACACGATTGTCGGCATGCTTCGCAAGAGTTGCTGTTTTGAGATGGGCTGGTGGGGATACGCGGAGCGTAAAGATTTTACACTATGCCGGAGGGGCCGGAATCGGTCCTCCTGAGGTTCCCTTGTACAAAAACGATACGCGGGGACATCGCTTGTTCTAACATGAGATTTTTTCACGAACCCCTTGCAAAAAATGAGACAAAGTGCACACGCGCGCGTCGTCGCGCGCGCATGCCGAAATCCTTCAAAACCCTTCGGTGCCAGAACAAAAAAAAAAAAAAAAAAAAAGTTTCGCAACACTGATTTGCTCAAAATGCTTCCGCGCGAGCTCTTGCGAAATCTTAAGAAAACCATAGGCTTTTCAAGGTTTTAACAAAATGCTATCAAACAGGCTTCGCGCGCGCGCATGACGAAATCTGTCGAACGCCCTTGCGCGTGTGCCGTCGCGAGAATCCTCTGCAAAAAAATGGACGAAGTGCAGACGCGCGCATTGTCGCGCGCGTACGCCTAAAACCTTCAAAACCCATCGGTTTCGGAAGGAATTCAAAATCGTGTGTCTAAAAAACCTACAAAAACAGGTTTCGCAACACGGATTTTCAACGAAAGCGTGCGCGCGCGCTCTTGCGTCGTCGTCGTCGTCGCCGTCCTCCCTCCTCCCGCGTCGTCGTCGTCGTCGCCTACGTCGTCCTCTGTCTTTCCTCGTGTTCGTTGTCGTCGTCCTCTTTGGCGTCGTGGTCGTTTCCGCCGTCGTTGTCGCCGTGGTCGTCCTTCCTCCTCCTCCCTCGTCGTCGTCGTCATCCGTCGTCGGCGTCTCGTCGTCGTCCCTCCTATTTCGTCGCGTCGTCGTCGTCGTCGTTGTCGTCGTCGTCGTCTTCCCTCCTCCCTCGTCGTTGTCGTCGTCGGCGTCGCCGTCCTTCCTCCTTCTTCGTCGTTCGCGTCGTCGCCGTCCTCCCTCCTCCCTCGTCGTTGTCGTCGTTGTCGTCGTTGTCGCCGTCGTCGTCATTCCTCCTCCCTCGTCGTCGTCTTAGTTGGCAACGTCGTCGTCGTCTTCGTCGTCGTCGTCGGCGTCGGCGTCGTTGTCGTCGTCGTCGAAGTCGTCGGAGACGTCGTCGGTGTCGTCGTAGTCGTTCTCGTCGGTGTCGCCGTAGTCGGTCTTAAGAGGTTTTGCAAACCAAGTTGCGGGTGGGTGGGTGGGATGTTTGCAAGAGCGTGGGATGTGTCAAATCATGGGTGAAAATCAGTTTCCCCCCTTAGGAGTTCTCTGGTGGTTCGCGGGTTCCCTGGGCCACGGACGGTGATCGATCTACACGCTTCCCGCGGCAGCTGGCCCATACCAGAAGCCGAGCGGCGGAGGAGGCCACGAGAAGGCGAGGCGGCGGCTATCAGATTGAAGAAGTGCTGCGGCGACACCTGTGGATTACCCTACAGGGTCAACCCGAAACTCAGGTGAAGAAAGGGCCAACATCGGGCCGCAGCTAGGAGGCAGGAGAGGCAGCGAAGGGGAAAGAGGAGAAAAGAAGAAAGCGAATGGGCAACCGGCCGAAGCAATCAACACCTGACAGCACCGTTGCTGGGTGGACGCCGGCGTGTCGCACTAAGTGCGGGCCGGGGGAGAAGGAGAAGAAGGAGA